CCGCATCTTTCAAATTTAAAGCTCAATTCTTCCAAGCCTTCAAGCAATTGACAAGTCCACCCCATGAATCACCTTCATAGCCATCAAGCGTGAAATCTCCAATCCCCTTCAAGCCCAATCGCCTCGCAAGAGTGCCGCCCCGCTAGTTTCCAAGAAAATCTGCAATAATGCTCAAGAAACTAGAAAGTACCCCGAAATGATCATAAAAATAACAAAAGGGAAAATATGCATGAAAGTTAACTAAAATGCAAATGAAATGTACTAAAATAAACTATAAAAATAAGTAAATAAAATGAAGCTATCAGAAGACATAAGAAATCTTTTGAAAGATGTCTATAACAAACATTTACACAATTATCATTGTGTTCAACTTGTATTCCCCCCCCCCCTAAAAGCATTTAAAACAGTTTAAAAGATCGATTACAGGGTATGAACTCACCTGATGTGGGTGATCCAAACGAATACGTGCGTAAGGATGAGAAGCTCCACGAATGAAGTCCCAAGACTTAACGAGTCCTAAATGACATATAATGGCATATAGTGACTTAAATATAGCGTTTAGAGGCAACTAAATGCAAGGAAACACCTCATGGGACTAGGAAACACTTGAAATGAAGTGTTGAATCACATGTGATTGTTCAAGGGAGAGTTCACGACTACCAATGGAGTTTACGGCCATGAGTTTACGGACAAGGGAGTTTACGGCCATAAAATCATGGTCAATTATGCCAAAGTGTGTGTTTCAAGGTCCTACAACATCCATTAAGGGTTCAAGGTCAAAGGTTTGGACTTAGGAAGGGTTTGCGGCCAAATTGGCATACTTATAGGGGTTTACGGCCATGGGAGATTGCTTGGTCGTAAACTCCTTTTGTTCTTGTATTCTTGATGGTTTAAAGGCTCTAGTAAGGTGTTTCAACTAGATAAAAATTTAGGGAAAAGCGTACTCACGATATTGAAGCTTGAAAGGGTTGATTTTGGACCAAAACACTAGTGTATGTTCGTGGAGTTCTTGGTGGAAGTTGAAGATTTGAAGATCTAGTTAATAAGATGATTTCCATGGATAAAATCATGAGATGATACTAGATTAAGAAGGATTAACAACAAACCAAAGGAATAACACTTACATTTTTGATGATCTAGGATGAAGAACTCGATGATACTTGAGAGAGAAATGGAAATTATTGAGTTGGAAAGGTAAGAATGAAAGGAAAGAGTCTTTAAGGGGGAGTTTATGGCTAGCCTTGAGTTTACGCCCGTAAACTCAAGTGTCTTGGCCGTGAATTCCTTTTTGGGTGGTCTTAAGGCTTGAATGTTGCACAATGTCTCTAGCAGGTACTTTCCAACACTTATTCCTTAAGTGTAATTGGCTAAAACGCCTTAGAATGACCTTTTAACAAGGCTAGAACTCATTACTAATGAGTCTAACACTCAGTTGAGTTGAATGAATGAGCTTTCAAAGCAAACATTTTTAAGGTTGTCACATCATCCCCCCCCCCCCCCGTTAGATGGAATTTCGTCCCGAAATTAGCTTTCTTAGTTGCACTACTGGGGTTGTGCTTCTCTGATTTGCAGAATACCCACTCGTAGAGCTTGCAACTTTACCCTGGAGTTCATGATAGTATTCATACTTGGTCCATCTATCATTACCTTGTGTATACAAGTCGTATAAAAATAGGATTAGTAAGATGGTCGTATGTGCGACTCTGCCCCAGGTCCACAACCAAACAAGGAACAGGAGATAGGGCGGAAACACACATACTAGATCTGCGTAATCATAACTATAAACCACCCTTGCGTATACACTTGATAGTGATAGGTGGGCTATATTCGTCCTTAGCCTCTGTGCTCGAACTTAGTCTGCTGGACGAGTGGTATTTCATGATGGTTTGTGGAACATACAACGGCAAGGCTTCGGACGACAAAGTACCCTTCGCACGAGTACTTTGGGGTTTAGAATATGAAAGATAAAATTGAGGTTTAGGTCGGACTGTCGATACGAATGACGAAGGCTTCGCGAACTTGACGGTCGAGGCGATAGAAACATATGAACTTAGTATGTGAGGACCATGCCAATTCATGACGAATGATAGTAACAGACTCTTTATTGAACAAAGTTTTGGCCGATTTGAAAGAAACATATGTTATACGATGATGTACCCCTAGTGTTCGACAATGTACTCTTTGTAAATGTTCTAGTGCTTTCTGTTTTCCCTTTGATGTTAACACTTCTACGTATCATACCGCTACGTGTGAGTACATATAATGAAAGTGCTTTGATAACTAGTGTTGATACTTTATATCATGATCCTCCTCGGTACCATTACGATCGCCTGTCATATACAAGTTATGAATAATTAAGGTGAATAAGACAATCGACTGAGTAACTCTGCCTCAAATCCACAACCAAACAAGGAAAAGGAATTAAGTCGGAATCACTCACTCTGAGTCTGCAACATCTTAGTTATGCACAACCATGATGTATATGCTAAGCCAACATAACTTCTCTAAACGGATCATTTAGTTCTTTTGAATATTGTGATCTATTTCAATATGTGAGTTATTATAATTAATTTTTAAGTGTTTTACCCAAGTTTTAATCTTATATATAAATATAAATTAATTTTTAAAGTAATTACTATTTCGAAAACGTGTCACTGCTCGCTGACGACTATGGGGTTGATTCTCTGGCAGTGATCATCAGAATTCGTCCATCTACTCCTGAGTTCTTAGTTATTGGGCGGTCCCTCTGGTAGTGTCCAGTCTCACCACAACCATATCACGCTTGGTTTTCTTCAGCTCCAGGGACTTGGGAGATCGGTTGAGTCGGTGCCTTGCAGAAACGGATTGTGTGTCACTTTTTGTGGCAGTTCAGACACTGCATTTCCCGGCATACTCCGGTGTGGTGATAGTTGCGCTTTCCACACTTCAGGAGAGTTCCAACATACCTACTGGCAGGTGTTGGAGCAGCAGGCGTTGTAGCAGCGTACATAGTACTCGCTTGTTGCTCTTGTGGGGGTTCCTGTGTTGTTCGCTTCTTCTTCCTCTTGTTCCCCGACTTCTGATTATAGTCCTTTCCCTTTGATGGCTCAGGAATGAGGACTTTTATACCATGGCAGACTCCATGGTCAATGAGTCGTTGGGCCAGGCGTTTGGCACTATCGAATGTGGTTGGGTTAGAAGACAATACATCTCCATGGATCGGGACACTTAAACCCCAGATGTATCTTTCTATCTTCTTGCTCTCCAGGGTAACCATACCGGGGCATAGTGCTGCCAGGTTACTAAATCTGTCAGTGTAGGCCACTATGTCTAAGCCGACCATCATGAGCTCCCATAGTTCTTGTTCCAGCTTTTGAACTTTGCCCAACGGGCAATATTCTTCCAGCATTAACTCTTTTAGGTTTTTCCAACCTATTGAGTTAGACACTGATAGGGTCAGTGACTTAACATGGATATTCCACCATGTTAGGTCTCTGTCGGAGAAGGTGCAGGCAGCAAACTTCACTTTGCTCCCTTCTGCGCACGAATAGATTGCGAATACCGAATCTGTTTTCTCAAACCATCACATCAGAGTGATGACTCCACCATTTCCATTGAAGGAATTGGGTTTGAGGTTCATGAAGTCTTTATACGAACACTCCCTTGGGTGTTCGTGAGAATCTTCGGGGTTTGCTAAGTGGGTACCGCTACCAGATCCGAAGGTACCACTTTCGCCGAAGTGAGCTAGAGCAGTTGCCACTACGGAGGATATCGTTGCTTGGAGAGCATCGGTATCGAATTGTGGCGGAGGTAGTGGCGGTTGAGTTAGAGTTATCGGAGTAGTGTGTCTGTTTGATATGCGAGGAGGCATCTTTTCTAAAAGAATACAAAGATGAAATGGGATAAGTCGATAGCAGTGGAGATAAGCCAAAAGCTGAAAGACAAGGTTATCCTAGTTCTGAGTGTATGTGGTCCTGAATTCTACAGGATTCTTGAAACAATTCAAAAAAGAGTATATACCTAATAAACTTTATTAATTTTGGAATGGCTATCCTCGAATGAATATTTGTGACCTAAATAACTGTTACCAGCTGCATGTAAAAAAATAATCCTAACACATAATGTGAGTATTGTTTTCACTAACTCATTAAGTTAACCACGATTATTATTTATTAGTGTGACGCATATGACGTTGTGCTTACTTCGGTTGATCCTTCTTTGAAAACTTCTCATGAACTTGCCCTTTTTCCTTATAGATTCGTATGTTGTCTACTATGAGGAAGTGGTTACATCTATCTGGGTTTGTCGTGCGAGAATGGATGTAACTAACGAATCTATGAGATTTAAGGTAATTTTATGGGGTGATCCTTACAGAGTCCTTCAATAATTGTACAATGTATACAAGTTGTATATAATTTAAGATTAAATAAACCTTCGAATAAGTGATCCTACTCCAAAACCACAACCAAACAAGGAACGGGTAGTGAAGCGTAGATCACAAATTCTAAGTCTATAAGATCTCAATTATATAAAACCTTGGGAGTACACATTGCAAGATTATAGACCTATCTGTAAATATCTTTTAAGTTATCACGTAACTTATTTATATAGTGCCTAAAATATTTCTATAGTATTTTAACTCTATGTACTTGATCTAGAATTCTCTTGACTAATGTGAGGTAAGTTTTAAGACTGTTGCAATACCACATCACTCCCAAACACATGTGGGTTACATCTCGAATGAATATAGTTGATCAGACTATATTGATCCTAGTTATGCTTACATAATTGTCTAGGTTTGACCGCAATGTTCAACCTTTAAATACTTCTGTTCTGTTCTTCTTGTGATACTTGTTCTAGTATGTATACATGTATAAGCAAGTAGGTATATTTTTATAACTTATCGTTATATTCTTAAAATATATTATTATCCAGAGCACTTAAGCCCCATTGTATTTATAGTTGTATGTCTTTTATCGGTTGAGACCGACATTGTGAATAACGGGAACAGGGGAAGCCGGATGGAAGCTGGAAGGATAATACGCTTTCAGGGTCAAAGTCATCAAGGGTTTTGTGATGTTGGAGGAGTGGTGGCGGAAGATAGTAGATATTCGGAGAGGGATAGGAGCAGGATGGAGGCAAGGCCGCATAAAGTTTTATGTGGTCTTGAGTGGTTGTGTGGAGTTGATGAATTTGTTGATTGTTTTAAAGAGGAAAACAAAACTAGATTAGATAAATTATTGTAATTTTAAGAGAGTATTTGTGGAAGTTATATTTCTTTTAAATGAAATTACCAAATTATCCTTATTAATTTAATAAATGATTTATTTTTTCCTAAATTCTTATTGATTCATTCATCCACACAATACTTAGTTATAATACTTGAACATCTCTCTCTCTCTCTCTCTCTATATATATATATATATATATATTCATCAACACAATAATTAGTTAGAATACTTGAACCTCTCTCTCTCTCTCTCTATATATATATATATATATATATATATATATATATATATATATATATATATATATATATATATATATATATATATATATATATATATATATATATATATATATAGGTTCAATGGAAAATAAAAACCCTAAAAATCAAAAAAATGCATAAGAAAAATACTTAGATATCACAAAACTTTTTTTTTTTTTTAATTTTTTTTATGAAAAAATCGCAGGTTTTTAAGTAAATTCGCTGATTTTTTTTTATTTTTTTTTTATTTTTTTCAGCGAATTTATTAAAAAACCTGCGATTTTTTTATAAAATAATTAAAAAAAATTGTAATCTCTAAGTATTTTTTTATGTATTTTTATGATTTTTAGAGTTTTTTTAAGGTTTTTTTTGTTTTCCAAATAACCCTTCCCTATATATATATATATATATATATATATATATATATATATATATATATATATATATATATATATATATTAGAAAGGTATCAATGATGCGGTCGATATAAGACTAATATATAATACTTTCGACATTAGTTTAGTACAAATATCGTTAAATCTATTTAAAATAACATTATAAATAGTCGTTTGGTCGTTTAAGTAACTATTAATGGTGCACTATTAATGGTGCTTTTTGAAAAATCAATTACTATAAATATGAGACTGTAGACTCTTATATTTCTTGCATCGAGTCTCTTTCAAGAGCTTTTCTCCTCTCACCCTCGAGCATTTCGTTCCCTCGTGATTCGACTTCTATTTCTATAGTTTTAGTATAGTAAATTAAATGTTGAAGCGCTGCAATAATATTTTTAAAGGAAAGATTCAGTGATGCAGTTCTGATCATGAAGTTCTAAGTTTTCGCTAGAAAACCCTGTCATCTTAGAGGAAAAACTAAGTCGTTAGTAGCAAATCCCGGGAGCACCAGAGAGCCTGAGAAATAGATTTTTCGATATCGAAGTTTTGCTCGCGTAATGTCCCATTTTTTGTCAAATAATTTGTAAGTTAAGTTATGCTTCTCGTGCTTTAAATATAACTTACATTTATGTTTATAATATTTATTATGAATCATAATTATGATTTATCATTAATACCAGTTGCCATACTGATTGATCTTTTTACAGGAATGATGACAATGTAAGATTAGTGATGTGTTTAAATTGGATTAAAACTTGTACCATTGAATAACCATTTGTTTTTGTTTTTTTTGTTGTTTTTTTTCCGGTTTTCATTCAATAACCATATTAAATAAGGAAAATGTCATTTTAACCCTAAAATTTTTTTTTTAGTTTTAATTTTTAAATAGTCACTTTTTTTTTCATCACTTTAGAGGACCTAAGTTTATTTTACAGGTTAAATAAATCTTTTAACCTTTTATAATAGGTAACTAAGAAGTATATAATATTTTGTTAATGTAGAAGACCAAATAGTGAACTGTCATGTGCATTACAAAAACACTTTCTCCTAAAATATGAAGAACTTGGGCTTTTGTGCTCAAGACCTCACAAGTGTTCCTCGATCATCCCCACCGTCGTACATCCAAATCCATTCTCATCTTCAAATAATTACCCTGTTACTTTCGCAGGTCAAAAACCACGATTCTTTTCCTTGATTTCTCAATCTACTGAAGTGTTGCTGCTAATTTCCTACTCCGTCGATTTTCCTAGTTTGATTTCTCTCACATTACTACGACCCTGTTTCAATCTCAATCTGAAACCCACTTGGAGTTCGTTGAACGTATTAGATATAGAGATTCAATAGGTGCGTTTGCAACCCCAATGACAAAAGAAAGACCTAAAACCTGATTATCATCACTATCACCAAGAAGCTCCATTAAAATATTCAAATTACCACCTCTTGCCACCGCATGAACAAAAATCTCTTAGTATCATATGCATTGTAGTTTGTACTATGCTCAATAGAAGCATAAAGACTTGAACCTAAACTATCCATTCGAAATATTTCTATGGACAGGGACCATATCGGTTAAAATCTTTGATGATGCGTAATTGGAGTTGACTCATCCACAGTTTCGCTATTTATCTATACTAATAAATAAAACCCATTTTCTGCCACATGTCATGTCCTCATTAATTTGGACACATGATATTTTAATAGATTTTTAGAATTTATTTATTTCCACATGGAATTTTCTGATTTGTTCACATATCATAACTTATTTCGGTTACAATTGAGAGAAATAAATGCGAAAAAGAAATGATATATTTATAATGTAATAAATGACATAATAAATGATATATTTATAATGTACTAAATTACGAAGAATTTTGGTTATTTTACTAGATTTTTTTGGTTTCCACTTTCCACCCATGGAGCGAGATTCAGAAAACAAAAAGCGCGCCAATTCGTTCACATAAACGCCCTCACTCCAAAATCCGATATCGCCGTCGCACCGCCACCGTCATGGGAAAGCAAAAACAACAAGCTATTTCCCGTTTCTTCGCTCCCAAACCAAAGCCATCTTCTTACCCAACGTCAACTTCGCCTCCATCGTCACCGCCGCCGTCGCAATCACCTCTACCGAATTCATCAACACCTCCCCCTAAAATCTCCGCCACCGTCACATATTCTCCTCTTAAACGCCTTCGTACCTCCCAGCTCATATCCCCGATCAAAAAACCCTCCAAAACCCCCCGATTATCCCCCAATCCCGACCTTGCGGAATCTTCTCGAACTAAACAATCTCCACCCAGTGAAAACCCTAAACCCTCTTTGTCGAATCCCACTCTTCACGAAAAGTTTCTTAGTAAACTTCTAGAACCTTCTGAAGAAGATACAGCTAATGTTCTTACTGCAGATGCTAAGGCTCCATTAAACCCCAAATACACCCCATTGGAGCAGCAGGTAGTAGAGCTTAAAGCTAAGTACAAAGACGTTCTTTTAATGATTGAAGTTGGTTACAAGTTTCGTTTCTTCGGTGAAGACGCTGAGAATGCCGCTAGGGTTTTGGGAATCTACGCACACATGGATCACAATTTCTTGACAGCTAGTATACCCACTTACCGATTAAACGTCCATGTGAGGAGACTAGTAAGCGCAGGGTACAAAGTGGGCGTTGTTAAACAGACTGAAACCGCAACAATCAAGGCTCACGGGTCAAATAAAATGGGTCCATTTTGTCGTGGATTATCAGCATTGTACACAAAGGCCACACTTGAAGCATCTGAAGATGTGGGTGGAGGAGGAGAAGAAGGGTGTGGATCATGTAATAACTATTTAGTTACTGTCGTTGAAAATGTAAATGTTGGTGACGACAAGGGGAATAATGAAACTGGAGTTGATGTGAAAATTGGGATTGTTGCTGTTGAAATTTCAACTGGAGATGTTATTTTTGGAGAATTTGATGATAACTTGCTAAGAACTGGGCTTGAGGCTAAGATATTGAGCTTGTCTCCTGCTGAATTGCTTCTTGTTGATCCCCTATCTAAGCTAACAGAGAAGGTAGTTGATTACTTGATTTCAACTCAATAAAACTTTTATACTTGTGTAAATATTGAATAAATTTTTTTGCTAATTGAATCTCTGTTTTCATATTTAGTTTTTACTAGCATACGCGGGACCCGCTTCAAATGTCCGGGTGGAACGGGCCTCTAGAGACCGCTATACAAATGGTGGAGCACTTGCTGAAGTATTGTCATCTTTTGATAAAATAGGTGATAGCCTTCTAAATGATACTCAAAAGGAAAAAACAAAATGTCATCATGCAACTGAGGTGTGTGCTTCTTGTTATCTCTTATTATGATGTACATTTGTTACTTTTGTTAAATCTAATCCCTCTTTATGTGTAGGCGATTATGGGTATGCCTGATTTAACTGTTCAAGCATTAGCATTGACCATTGACCATCTGAAACAATTTGGTTTTTGAGAGGATTTTGTGTTTGGGAGCTTCATTTCGCCCTTTTTCAAATGATTTGGAGATGACACTTTCAGCCAATGCAATGCAAACAATTAGAGGTTTTGAAGAACAACTCTAATGGATCTGAATCTGGCTCATTGTTTAGCTGTATGAATCACACTCTTACTACATTTGGCTCAAGGCTTCTCAGACACTGGGTATACTTAATATGTCTTATTAATCATTATGTCATTTTGTTGTAACAGTTAAAAAGGTGTCATTTTGTGATACAGCAAATCTAATGTTTGCTAATTGGGTCCCACCTCATGATCCAGGTGAGTCATCCTTTACGTGACGGAAGCATGATCAGTGCACGTCTGGATGCTATTTCTGAGATTCTTGAATCAATGGGTTTTTCTAAAAAATTTAATGATGGAAATGGAAGACACACTGATGTCAATCTTCATCAACTTCTTAGTTTAGTTCTTACTAATTTAGGAAAGTTACCTGATATTCAACGTGGAATTACTAGAATCTTCCATCGAACTGCCACAGCATCAGAGGTAATAATGAGTTGTTGCTTTTCAACTTAATGAGCTTAATGGGTTAAGCACATAATCTAGACAGTTATATATGACTGTTTTTTATACAGTTCATAGCAGTCATTCAAGCCATCTTAGTGTCTGGAAAACAACTTCAGAAGCTTCAAGTTGAAGAAGACAATGAAGTCAACCATGTGGAAAAGACCATTCAGTCCCTGTTGCTAAAAAAGTTGATTCTGACTGCATCATCATCCAGCATAATTTCCACATCAGCAAGGCTGTTGTCTGCCTTGAATACAGAAGCTGCTGAACAGCGTGATATTTCCAATCTGTTTGTCGTTTCTGAAGGTCGATTTCAAGAGGTAATTATAAATAAAGTTATATATATTTATATGATCTCTAATTTATCTTCATTTAATTATTTATAACTGTTTTATAACTGATTACCAGATTGCTACAGCAAGGAATAAAGTGAAACAAGAAAAAGATAAGTTAGATTTATTAATTAATATATACCGCAAACAACTGAAAAATCAGAAATTGGAATTCATGAGTGTGTCTGGGACGACACATTTGATAGAGGTAATTTATATATTTTTATAAATTATAATTCATATTATCTATAAATATTTTTTTGACTGAACATCTTCACAGTTACCAGCAAATGTAAAGGTGCCTTCGAACTGGGTGAAGGTTAACAGTACCAAAAAGGCAATACGCTATCATGCACCGGAGGTATTAACAGCTTTAGACCATTTATCATTAGCAAGTGAGGAGCTTGCTATCGTGTGCCGTTCCACTTGGCAGAAGTTTCTAGAAGAATTCACCGGTTTCTATCAAGACTTTCAGAGTGCTGTTCAAGCCCTAGCATCCTTAGATTGCTTACATTCTCTTGCTCTACTTGCAAGAAAAAAGGTTTCTTTCTTCTAATGTTATAAATTTGAGAACGAATTACATTTTTGGTCCCTTAGTGTAACTGATGTTTGCATTTTTGGTCCCTTATTTTTGACCGATTCAACTCTATTAGGATTACACTCGCCCTGTTTTTGTTGATGATAATGAACCTGTTCAAATCTGTATATCATCAGGTCGTCATCCGGTATGTAACATCATTTTTTTTTTTTTTTTAAAAATATATATATTTATTAGCATGAAATGAATATAAACAGGTTATGGAGACAATGTTAGAAGACAATTTTGTTCCAAACGATACAAATTTACATTCAGAAGGAGAGTATTGTGAAATTGTGACGGGACCAAATATGGGTGGAAAGAGTTGTTACATACGACAGGTGGCACTGATTGCCATCATGGCACAAGTGGGTTGTTATGTGCCTGCCACGTCAGCAAAGCTCCATGTATTAGATGGGATCTACACACGAATGGGGGCTTCTGATAGCATCCAACAGGGAAGGAGCACGTTTCTAGAAGAGTTAGGTGAAGCTTCTAACATACTTCACGCCTGCACAAACCGTTCTTTAGTGATTCTTGATGAGCTTGGGAGAGGCACTAGCACGCATGATGGTGTAGCCATTGCTTATGCTACACTGCAGTATCTTGTAGAACAAAAGAGATCCATGGTGTTGTTTGTGACTCATTATCCAGAAATAGTTAATATGACAAAAGGGTTTGGTGGGCGTGTGGGGTCTTACCATGTTTCATATCTGACATCATCATCATCGCAAAAAGACGAATCTAACCCTTCTGGTTCCGACTATGAAGATGTTGTTTATCTTTATAAGCTTGTTCCTGGTGTTTCCGAAAGGAGCTTTGGGTTTAAAGTTGCACAGCTTGCTCAGGTCAGTTTGACTTTTGACTTTTGACTTTTTGAGATGGTCAAACTTCATCTTTTATGTTGTGTTGTGTTGCAGATACCTTTGTCATGTATAAATCGAGGGAGTGAGATGGCAGTGAAATTGGAGGAGGTGGTGAGGGACAGATGTAAAAGCAGGTTGGCAATGGCAGATAAGAATTTACAAGAAATATTTTCAAATTTGGATTTGGCATTTTTGGAAGATGTTGATCCTGTAAAAAGGTTTGAGCGTTTGAAGCATGCCAGAAGCCTTGCACTTGCATTGAGAAATTAGTAAAAAGAGTTTTTCATTTTGTTTCTGCTTCTAATGTTCTTGTAAGACACTATTTCAATGGTGGTTGAGATGATGATGTAAATTAAACTTGGTGTGAGAGTGATCAGATATATATTTATCTAGTCAAAAATGTCTTTTACCAGGTATAATCACCATCTATTTGTAATAGAGAAATTAAATATCTCTTATATTTTATTCTTATTTATCTTCCTACCATATTGACACATTTAATGAAACTAATTTAAATTTTGTCCACTTGTCAATATTTAATGTGGATAGGAGGATAGTAGGATTAAAATGTAGGAGGATTTTTAATTTCTCTTTGTAATAGGAACAATGTGTTCGTGTTGTTTGAATCGGAATGCATTACATGTTTGGTTTGGTTGGTGGAAAATGGAATACATTTAAATCATATTTGTTTGTTATTTTCTATTTGGTTTGTAAATTGACCGGTTAAAATTGGAATGTAAATTATGTTAATCAGTGATACTGTTTTTGTCATAAATTTCATTAAATAGTACGAAGATGGCCAAAAGACGTGCAATCACTTGTCATATATTAAGAAAAAAGAAAATTCAAGAAATAAATATCGATTTTATGAAGCTAATTCTTTCTTGGCTATCAAAGGCATCGATTAGATTAGAGATGCCAACCTTTAATAGAGTTCAAGAAAAGAGAAACTGGACCAGAAATGGATGAGGTCAACTCTTATCAAGTGCAAGTCAACAAAGAGATCAAGATCCAATTTGTAGGCTTACAGTGGTCTAGTTAAAGCTGTATGTTTGTGTTGTCTCAAGTATTCGATTGTTTTGTTTGACTTTACCTAATGATGCAGGTAAGAGACAAAGAAATTGGTGATGTGTGAGACAAAAAAAGGAGTAAGAAAATTACAAGTCTTTTCTTATTGAAATATAACATTATGCACCAAAACAACAGCAAATTTTTATCTTCAGTAACACAAATATAAAGCATAACTCCCACGATGTTCAAGAAAAAGGCAACAACATTTTGCCTAACAAAAACTTGTAATGTTCAGTGTTCTGATGAAGAAACAAATACAACTCAATAGTCTTTGTTCCCAAAGTTCTTGCACCATATCTGTGATGGAACTGGCCGAACAGGCATATGTGGTCGTTGCTGCAATATCATTATACACACAAAGCAGAATCAGAGTATGCAGATATAACAGAGATTAGATGAGACCAAAATGCAACTTCTTTGGTTAAGTATCACATAAACTGAAAGTTAACATCTTGCATACAGAAGTACAGAACTAAGAAGTAAGAACCTAGAGTGTAACTGTGAACCTGGATAGACTACCATGGTAACATGACAATGATGCAAACCCATAGAAATCGAATTTGAATACAAAAGATCAAACTAGGGTGAAGGAGATGATGAACTTTTGATGAATAGGGCTTCTTAGTTAAATCGTTGTCTATGGAGCTACTATGATTGGGGCTCTGCTACCACAGGGGAGTGACCAAACAGACTAGATAGAAAGCCAACAGCAAAACCCAAACGGATCAAAGATGAAAAAAGTTTAAAATGATAAATCCCGAAAAAATTTACTACCAAGAAATTCACTATAAGCACGCAAGCTGGAACTGAGGCCCGTGAAATTTCAAACCCTAATTTTTTTTTTTTTTACAATATAAAGTCAAGGTACGCCTAAATCCAGATCTCCCACATTGTAAGTACTGAATTTCTATAAAAACTAGGGGGGAAACATTTGAGTAGAGGGATAGATGATCGGTATATAGAAACACACCTCAAGCTCCGCAGATTTCATGGCGATGGGGATGCAAACGAGGAAAATACCAGCCATAGCGATCGCTGTGTTGCGCTTCCAGTGCAAGGGGCGACAGTTCGGACCACCGCTCATAGTCCACACCTTGGTCCTGAAATCCCCTCCGCCATGGCCGTGGGCTGCGTCGCCGTGATGTTCTCCTCCTCCACCCATTTTCTCTCGTCAACCACTACGATCGAACTTCTGACGAACAAGCAAAAATGGTTTAGTTGGTTGGGTGCCCTATTGGCTATCGGTACATTTTGGGGATAGGCCCTCCACTTCACTGCACAGCGAGCCCATTTGCGACGTTAGTTTATATTTGCTATTTCAATTTTAATTTCTTATTTGTAGAAATTAAATTAAAAAACACTATAATAAATTAACACTAAAACTATTTCAATCCCATAAAAATAGGAAAAGTAGGGTAAGACCGTAAGTGGGATGTAAGAAGTAGAGACTCCAGGGATGTAAGAAGTAGAGACTCCAGGAATGTAAGAAGTAGAGACTCCTTATCGATGATAGGTAGGGGTGAGCATAATAACCGAAAAACCGATGATAGGTGGGATGTAAGAAGTAGACATTGAATGTATATGAGTAATTGGATTTTTTTATCCGAATAAGACATAATATAAATGTTTGGCTATTTTATTTTATAGTTTTTGATTTAATTACATTGAAGGTTCATGAATGTTTGACTTTATTTTAATGTTAGTATCAATTATCCATATATGAAATTATTAATTATTAACGTTAATTTTTTTTAAGTTTTATATTTTTATTAAATGTTTTTTATTTTGAATGTAACTATGTTTTATCTTACTCTGAGTATTAAATGTACACATTTTATTATATTATTATAAGCTAGGTTACAAACATTGGCGTCAAAGGACTTTTTTCTATTCCGTTTTCATTTTTTTATGTCAATATACTTTCGCCATTTATATTATTTTGAACATTATGGTTAACCAATATTAACCATTAACCAAAACCGTTAAAACCATTAACCATAACCAATAACTACCAAAATGCATTAACTAATCATAATGGTTATGGTTCGGTTTTGACCAATAACCGAACCAAACCGCCCCATACACACCGCCTTAACTGGAGCCGGAATCAACGGTTCCTGAAATGTTAGAACATGAACCGGAACCGATGGTCAAAGGTTTCAATACCCGATATCCAGTTCATTAAGTTTGTTGAATTTTTAAAACTTATAAGTTTTAAAAATTCATCCATTGAAGTCCACAACTAAACGAATATTTGTATGAATTAGAATTTAAATTGAACATATTAGTACAATATTTATAATGTGTATAAATTCATTTTGAACCTAGATAGTTTAAATTCAAAATGTAAATAACACATGAACATTTAAAGGTTCAAAACAAATTACTTAAAGTTCTAGAATTTTAAATGGTGTTACTCAAGATACTACATAAAATATGTGATTATGATATATATATATATATATATATATATATATATATATATATATATATATATATATATATATATATATATATATATATATATATATATGCAAAATGAATGTACATTTAAATGTATATAAGCTTAGGTATCTAAACTCATACGTCGTTTTGTATCGTATATGCATTGTAAACGTCCAAAATTCTTAAAATTCAACTTCTAACTTGATTTACTTATAAGATTTTTATAAATTTCACCATTATCTTTCACTTACATAACTTTCATTTTCAACTATTATATATATATATATATATATATATATATATATATATATATATATAGAGAGAGAGAGAGAGAGAGAGAGAGAGAGTATATATATATATATATATGTATATATATATATATAGAGAGAGAGAGAGAGAGAGAGAATATATATATATATATGTGTGTGTGTGTGTGTGTATATATATATATATATATATATATATATATATATATATATATATATATATATATAGAGAGAGAGAGAGAGAGAGAGTTTGGTTGATGTTCGATAGAAAGATGTGTTGTAAGAGAAAGAAAATAGTGAAAATTTGAAAATATTAAAAGTAAATCAAGTTACGGGTTAAAGTTTAAGAACATTATAATGCATATATAATACAAAACGATGTATTATAGTGGGTTTGGGTAACTAAGCTTATATACGTGTTCTGATCAAAAACCAATTAAGTAAAACCTAATCAAATTGTATGAGAGGTTATGATGTTCATTATAAATCAAGTAAGAAATGATAATCAAAGTGACACAAGTGAGTTACAAGGAAAGCCCTTGCTCCTTGATAGGATCTCCGCATGAAACCTTGGAAGGTGATAATGATCACATGCCTTGATGATTTTTATTGATATCAAAAGTCGATTTACAGAAATAAATGTGTAAATGTAAGTACAAGTATCGTGGATGAGCAAATTGTGTCTGTAGTGTGATAGTTACATGTGATATTTATAATCTAATGTTAATAACAAGAAGTCCGGTAATTCCAGGATCTTCCAGAATCAACATATGAGCGTTATTTGATTTGGTATTTCGGGTATTTTGTGTGACAACCCAAAATTTTTTTGCTTTATAAATCCAACAGTCAACTCAACTGAGTGTCAAACTCGTTCCTGCTATCATTTAGCCTTGTTTAGAGTCCGTTCAAAGGTTCAAAGCTCAATACATTCTAGCGTTGAGTAAAGGATTAGATCGCGTACACGTAAAGCACCAAAAACCAGCCATACACTCTGTTTGAGGGAGTGTACGGCTGTACACATGAGTGTACGGCCATACACACCCCTCCATATGTATGTATTCCCTTCATTTTCAAGTCATTCTTCAGTTTCAAGGTCAAGAACATCGATTTCTCTCTCAACTATCATCCGTTTTTCATCCCGATCTTCAAGAATGTAAGCCTTTCATCCGTTTTGATTTTTTGTTAATCCTTTTAAACTGGTAACACCCTCTTGATCCATCCACTAACAACATATTTTGGCTAGATCTTCAAGCCTCACCAAGAACACCAAAAACACACACTTGTTCTTGGTGATTGTGAACTCTTTTGAGCCTTCATATCGTAAGTACTCCTTCCCTATGCTTAATGCTTGTTAGAACACTAGATTATCACATTAAAAATGCCCAGAATTCATGATCATGAGGTGTGTACGGCCGTACACCCATGTGTGGCCGTACACCCCTTAAAACACCCCTAAAGTGCCTCTAAAATGCCTATCCAACTTCAAGACTTGAAGAGAAATTGTCGCACAAGCATCGTTACCCTTGTAAAATGATTTTGTCCACTTGTTACCATGAGTATACGGCCGTACACTCCTTGTCCGTACACTCCTGGCCGCACACTCCTCCATGTGGTCGTACACTTCCCTTTAGTGAATCACACGTGATCCCAACACTTAGTCAAAGTGTTTCCTTGTCCCGTGAAGTGTTT